ACAACTATTCCATCACATAAGAACCCCCCAAAAACCGTATTTTTTTCCCATACCGGGCATGTTTGTCACCGCCATTTCCTCATAAAGTCAGTATTTTATTTTTCTTTATCGGCTGTTTTCTCAAAACGCGACTTTTGTCTATACTTTTTTGAATAACTCCACCATTTTTCATCTAATCTTCATGAAATTTTCACAGAATGAAGAGAAGATATAATACTAAAACTTTTTTGTTGAATTTTTGAAATATGGAATAGATTTTTCTTCGTGGTTTCTGGAGTGTGGATTTTTACGGATTTTTTGAAAACTTAAATGCTACCTCAGGAAAAAATTAATTTAAACTTTATTTTCTAATTCGTTTAGGAATAAGACAACAGACGAAATTTTTAGATCTAATGTTTGTAAACACGCATGCAAAACAACATTCAATTTCCATGAGCTATAAGTGCGGTATTCATTACGTAAGACATGTCAACAAAATCGAATATGGCCGCCGCATCCATGGAAACGAAACTTTTTCTCCAATTTGATTGCGAATTTAAAGACTCCTTACTATGCTCGTTATATGTAATAAGCGAGATTGCCTTCAGGTGTTGCCCTCCCCCCCCCCCCCCCCCCCTTAAGCAAGTCGTCGCCACCTTGAACTCGACAGTAGAGCGTGGTTGATCAGGAGGGACTTACCATTTTCCGCTGTATTGCGATAGAGCGGCAACATAACAGGCATCACCCCCTTTTAAGCCATTTCGATGTCGGCGTGCTCAGTCCATCGACAGAACTCTGGACTGGGAAGTAATGTTTTCCAAAGAACGGGAAATATAACAATAATATATATTATAATAATATTATTATTGTGGATGTTCAGAAATTTTGATATTGTATATCCACGAGCAATGCGTTGTGAATCCTTCCTTATCTTTTTTTGTTGTTGTCCAGTATCATGATTTTGGTGCAGATATTTGTAGGTTACGAAAAAAAGTATTGATATGGTGCAAATGGTTATGTTCCACGAAAAAAGAAACAAGAAGAGAACATGTTAAAACGAGTAATTGTTTAGTCGATAATCTTGATGATGATGATGATGATGATGATGGTAACGATGACGATGCTTTAATGTTGGAAATAATTAACACGGTACTCTTAGTGTCAATTGCATTTAACTTTTTGTTTGGCGCTAGGATCCCCGCCAGGCTGTCCCGGGGGGGGGGGGGGGGGGGAGGACACAACCCTCATTCCTAACTCCTCGCATAGAGTGACCAGAAATTTGGAAGTTTATCGTCATCTTCATCCCTAGCATTTTATAAAAGTATGTCGGAAAATCACATTGGGGGTCCACTTCTAAGTGCTCACATTATGCGTGTGTTTGTTCCCCTACGTCTATGCTATCATATTTTAAAAACAATGAAGGGAGTCTGGCCAATAACCTTTGTGATATCTTCATATGCAATGCAGTTGCGTTCTGTAACAAAAGATTACCATGTCAAGGCTAACTTGTGGGCTTACAAGTTATCGCTGTCGGAATTCGCCACTGGTCCAGAGGCACTTCTGTGATCGTCGGAGCATCTAAAAATCCTGAAAAACCATGCCCAGTCGACCACAGAATTACAGGTTCGCCTCTTCTTAAAGTAATACCAGCATATTCATTAATAATATATACTTATA